GAGTTGACTCATATAACCTATGAATTAAAAATACTTTTTGGGCATGTTAAAAAAATTTAGATTTTATCACACGTCTATATAATAAGGGACAACAAAATTTGAATTCTCAACTTATAAAATTGTTCGAACGTTCTAGATTATTTCAAAATTATTGACCCAACAAATAATATTGACCCTTAAAATATTTTATTTGATCTGATCCTATATTTCTTATCGCCTAAAATCTCTTCCACTATTTTTTTCAATATCTTTTTAATTTAATCATATCCCCTATTTTAAAATCAAAATCCCTAAAACCCTACCAGCAAAACCCTTCCTCTTTTATTCGGTATCGCCGGCCAATGGTTTGACTCCCCCCTCCCTCTCTTTCTCTCCATCCCACAACACCCACCAAAATCTCTTTCTTTGCCTCTTGCCTTTTCTTTTTTTCTTTCCTTCACTCCTTACTCAAAGGTCACCCATCTCAAAGTTTTATAGTTGGTAAAGTTAAAAGGTATGCTTTTCTTTTGTCTTCCATGGAATAGTTTTGTTTTGATCTTTTTGTCTTATATGTTGTTCTCGGGTGAAATTTCATTCAATTAATTAGTAGATTTGACTTTCCATTGAATTTCAATATATGTACTGTACTTTTAATCTATTTTATTTCGTACACAAAAATTCAAATTTTCAAGAATTACTAAGAACACCAAAAAGTCAAAACTTTGCTCGAATTGGTCATCAAATTCAACCTTTTATCGTCAAATCTTGTAGATTAATTACGATTTTAGGAATTGGGCTTTGGTTTTTCATGCAACATCTCTTGACCATTAAAAGAATTTTTGTTTTAAGTCATGAACTCAAGTTTTTTGTCAGGACATTGAATTCACACATGTTCATATTTTTATGTGAATCTTTTCTGCTTAATTTGTTGTTCTTTAAAACATGTTAGTTGTGGACCTTCGGGTTGGACTGAATCTGAATTTTCTAGATTGCTATTTTTACAAAGCTTGACACTAGTCCATTTAGCACACTTGGTAGGGGCGAATCTAGCACTGGGGCAATGGAGGCAACTGTCCCCTCTAAAATTTTGAAAATTTGTGGGGTTTAATTGAAATTCTAAAATAATTTAAAACTTGCCCCCACTAAAAAAAATGGAAAACAATTAGGGATAGTTTTAATTTTTCGTTGAACATGATAATTAGTCATTACTCACTACATATTTGTGATTTGGTATGTGATGGGTTTTAATTATTATTGTTCACAATAAATTTTATATGAAATATCTCAATATTTTTTTAAAATTTATTATGGTTACTATGAATTTCATTTGAAATTAATTTTTATATTTAAATTTTAAAATTTGCTTATGATGTATTAAAAATTTTTCGATTGATTACTTGAAAATTAAGTTTGTCTATTTTGTGATGAAATGAATTTTTTTCAAATTGTTTGGAATAATTTTTTTTCTAACTAATTGGACTCATATTCGGAATTAGCTATTATGGATTATATTTTAGATTAAATTATTTCAATTAACAGTACTTTAGCAATTTTCTTTTATATAAAAATATCATGTAAAAGAATTTTACTTGGAATAGCATTGAGTGAAGGAGGTTGGATATATATTATGACTCAACAAATTGGCCTTGACAGTAAATATTTACATCAAATATAAAGATAATTCATTTTTTGCTGGTGAAATAATTCATTTTGTTCTTATTTTCTTGTTTGATACTATGCTATAGGGATTTAAGTAGAAGTTGGATGCAGCAAAATTGTAGATTTTTTTATGCTTACAAAAATAGAGCTAAATCATTTATTGAGTATGCATGTGATCATATGGGTCAGGTTAATAATATTCGATGTTCGTGTCGCAAATGCATGAACATGGATTTTAGAGGTGTAAAATAGGCTAAAGATCATCTTTGCTAAAATGGGATATTACAAAGTTACAACCGATGGGTACATCATGGGGAAGCTTTTGATTATAGCATGTATGTGGGTGTTGACGATGATGATAACAATGATGACGATGGTGTTAATGATGATAGAACTATAGAGGAGGAAGAAGGTGTTGATGAAATACATGGAATTCTAGAAGATGTACGCAGGGGAACTTTTATGGATACTTGTCCAGGTCAGACATTTGACAACCATGGCATTGATAATGTAACAGAAGGAGAAGCCAAAAAATTTAATAGATTATTGAAGGAAGCACAACTGGAACTTTATCCAAGCTGCAAGAGGTTTTCAAGATTGTCTTTTCTTGTGAAGTTTCTTCATCTCAAGGTAATCAATCATTGGAGTAACAAATCACTGAACATGATGCTTGAGTTATTGAAAGAGTTTTTTTCCAGATGGTGAGACACTTCCAAAGTCTTATTATGAGGCTAAAACAATTTTACGAGATTTGGGACTTGGATATGTGCCAATTCATGCATGTCAATATGATTGTGTACTACTTTGGAAGGAGCATAAAGATAGAGAAGATTCTCGTATATGGTGCATCTAGATGGAAAGTTGACGACGACAAGGGAAACGAATTCCGCACAAGGTTTTGCGTTACTTTCCACTGAAACCAAGGCTACAAAGATTGTTTATATTGAGAAAAGTTGCTATAGACATGAGATGGCATAAAGAGAAACATGTTGATGATGAGGATGAATTAAGGCAACCTACTAACTCCAAAGCCTAGAAGGAATTTGTCAAGGAGCACAAGTGGTTTGCACAAGATCCTTGCAATGTAAGGCTTGGATTAGCAACTGATGGTTTCAATCTGTTCGGTAACATGAGTAACTCATACAACATGTGGCTAGTAGTTTTTATGCCATATAACTTGCCTCCTTGGAAATGTATGAAAGAGCAATATTTCATGATGTCTTTACTTATTCCTAGACCTCAAGAACCTGGTAATGACATCGATGTATATATGCGACCGTTAATAGATGAACTAAAAGATTTATGGGAATATGGGGTACATACTTACGATGCTTCTACTAGAAAAAGATTCCAAATGCATGCAATAGTCTTAAGCACAATCAATGACTTTCCCGCATATGGTAACTTATCTGGATGGAGCACCAAAGGATACATGGCATGTCCTTATTGCAACGAGGATAAATCCTCGCAATCATTAAGAAATAACATTTCTTTCATGGGCCATCGGCGATACCTTCCACCCAAACATAGTTAGAGGAAAAGTAACAAAATTGATGGTAAGCAGGACCATAGGTTGGCACCTAAGGAATTGTCTAGTGATGATGTGCTTGAACAGTTAAATCACATCAAAGATGTTAGCTATGGTAAGCACCCAAATAATAAGAAAAGAAAGTGAACCCCGAAGAGTTGAATTGGAGAAAAAGGAGCATATTTTTCAAATTGCTGTATTGAAAACACTTAAGCTCTTACACAACCTCGATGTGATGCACATAGAGAAAAACATATGTGAGAGTGTGTTGGGAACCTTGTTAAATATTGCTATAAAAACAAAAGACACTTATAAGGTGAGACAAGATTTGGAGGATATGAATATAAGGAAAGAACTACACCTACAGTGTAATGACGATTCTTATGTAATGCCATTTGCATGTTACACATTATCCCATAAAGAAATTCAGGGATTCTTCGAATTCTTGAAATCGGTGAAGTTTCCAGATGGGTGTGCATCGAACATCATGCAATGTGTGAACGTAAGGGATTTAAAGATATCGGGAATGAAAAGTCATGATTTTCGTGTTCTTTTACAACAATTACTCCCGATTGGAATACGTGGATACTTGAATAAGGATGTTTGTACCACATTGGTTGAGTTGGGGTTCTTCTTCTTCAAAGAGTTGTGTAGTAATATGTTGAAACTAAAAATCCTAGAGAATCTAGAAAAGTACATTGCCTTAATATTGTGCAAGCTTGAAAGGATATTTCCTCCAGCATTTTTTGATGTCATGGTCCACCTAGCAGTTCATCTACCATATGAGGTCATGCTTGTAGGACTTGTACAATACCGGTGGATGCATTCAATTGAAAGGTAATCTATACTTGTTAATGTACGTATAAAGTTTAAATTTTTCATTATCTCTTCGTCATCTAAATTCGTCTTCTGTCAAATGTCCATAGATACTTGGGCACACTTAAGTGATATGTATGCAATAAAGCTCATTCGGAAGGTTCAATTGCTGAGACTTACATTGCTAATGAATGTTTAACATTTTTCTCAATGTATAGGAACGCAATTATGACGGAGGCCAGGAGCTAAGAGATGGAGGGTTGTCTGTGTTCTCACAGAAGATTCTTCCTTTTGGATGTCCATCATATGATAATTTGGCTGAGATGGATCATAGAAGGGCTCGATGGTATTTAGAGAACATATGGATGAGCTCAAGAGAGAAAGTGACATGGATTTAGACCAAAGGCAGCAAGAACAATTCCCTCAATGGTTTGAAAGATGTGTAAGGGCTTTCATAGAAGTGTCGTAAACATAATTATATATATATATATATATATATATATATATATATATATATATAATTATCGTATATTTATTTACTTGTTTCATTGTATTTTGCCTATAGATGAAATGACTGCACAATTTGAAATTTGTAGAAGCTACTGATCAATTGTATACATTAGCAAGTGGTCCAGATTTATGAGCAACTAGGTATAAAGGTTGCATTGTTAATGGTGATAGGTACCACACCAATGAGCGTGATAGTAGTCGTAAGAGTCAAAATAGCGGTTTAACTATAGAAGGAGAACATGACAATAAGCTAATTGATTTTTACGGAGTCATTACTGATGTTATTGAGTTACAATACATCAAGGGTAACCGAGTTGTTTTGTTTAAATGTGATTGGTTTGATCTTGACAATAAAAGAGCAAGGATTCAAAAGGATACTCACTTCACAAGTGTTAACGTCAGCCGTAAATGGTAACAAAATGATTCCTCTGTACTAGCGACCCAAGCGCAACAAATGTTCTACCTAAATGACACAAAATTAGGCAAAAATTGGCAAGTGGTACAAAAGGTGCAACATAGGAGCGTGTTTGATGTTGCAGAGGTGGAACCTATGGCAAGAGATGATGACGAAGGGGTGATCAGTAATGATGAAGCATATCAACAGAATGAGTCTTGCATTGTTGATGAGATTGTCCAAGTAGAAGTACAAGAATTGGGGCCATTGGATAGAGATGACGTTGATTCAAATTGTATTAATACAAGTGATGGGCAAGATGACACACTAGACGATTATTGTATTGATGAAGAAGAGAATATGTGATGGTGATGGTGATGATAACTTTTAACTACAGAAATATAAGGTAATCATTTAATATAGTTTTTACAAAATTAAGTGTATAGTTTTCATTTCAATGCCTGCAATAGAAACATGGACATCACATACACTATATCATGTATACACCATAATATCTCTCAAAGACAAATTGACTTTAAAATTTTTGGATCCAGTTATGTTTGTTTGAGTTGATTCGAATTGATTTGGATTTGGATTTGGATTTGTCCCTCATTCTAGTAGTACTTATTAGTTTAAATGTATTTTTTTTATTTGAAAATTTGGAACATCTATTTGGGTGTTGCCTTGGTTCTTTTTCTTTGTTTTTATGTTATCTATGCATAGGAACCTCGACAATATTTTATGCATGTTGAAAATATACTAACATCTTTTTATTTTGTTCTTATTGCAAATGGATTACTGGTGGTGCAAGTTGTTTAAAATAGACAAACCACACTTGTGAAGGGTTGGACATCCGAAACTATTATTCAACTCTAGCTTACCCCTACTGCAACAGTTAGATTAAGGTCTCCAACAAGATAATCCTCATTGGAATCAAGGAAGGCTAGAGAAAACAAAAGGAAGGTGGATTGAGGAATTGCTGAATATATTGTGGGCATATCAAACAATGCCCCAAATCTCAACCAGAGAAACCCCTTATGCTTGGCTTAAGGGATGGAAATGGTAATACCTCTCGAAGTCAACCTCTTGACCATTAGGAGCTAGAACTTTGAGATGAGCATGAATGATCAGCAAGTCACGCGAGACCTGAACCTAGCTGAAGAGAAAAGGGAACTTGCAGTGATTTAGCTTGCTAAATACCAAGAAGAACTAACAAGGAAACACAAAAAAAAAAAAAAAAAAAACTAAGCCTGAGAGTTTCAAGTGGGGGACCTAGAATTTCACAAAGTTGTTGGGAGTACTTGGGAACCAATGAACGGAAAGCTTGGTCCCAACTAGGAAAGATCCTACAAAGTGGTATCATGGGAGGCTCGAGGTCTTACAAGTTGGAAGACAAATCATTCCCCCAACCATGAAATATAGCTAACTTGGGAAATTTTTTTCATTAAATGAAAGTATAAACTTTTGAAAAATTAAGATCAATATTTTTTGTGATCTCCAAATTCTTAACATAAGCATCAGACTTAGTAGTTATGGGCCATGCCCCGGATGAGAAATGTCTGCAACTAAACTTGGGGCTAGGCCCTTGGTGGGATGAGTCTCACCACTAACAAAGCACCCCGCCCGAATATATATGGTATGCACCTCCCTTCTGGGAGGGATACATTCTAGAAGCCGAAGGTTTCCCTTGAGGACCCTTGACCCCGAGTGAATGAATGCATGTTGCAACACTTGTGAAAAAAAAAGTAACATAAGATTAATTGAATGAGTGCTTTGCATGCGTTAGAGCAAAAATAGAAATGACAAAAGAAAGGAAAAGAAAAAAAATGAAGTGACCCAAAGGCCTTACATTAATGAGAAGAACATCATAACAAATCTCTAGTGGGGTCCTAGTAGTGTCAGGTTTGACCATCACCACCTCAGACATCTATCCCAACCACCACCACCACCACCACCACCTTGATCCTCACCTCCAAAATCACCCTAACCTCTACCATCTTGTTCAACACCGACTTGAATGCCACCACCAAGATCACCAAACAAACTAGCAATATCACCCAAGCCCCCAAGACAAATCTAACCTTGCCCCACCGTTAACAAAGTAGATGGGGGAAGCTCCCAAGTTGGCTTCGGCATTTAAGGGTTAAGTAGGTTCGGGTTCCCACTCTCCTTTTCCCTAGGGGCTGTAGGTATAATTGTCTCCTCATTGTGATCCGCCCATCCCCATCTCGTAGTAGGATGAGGTTAATCACTTTGGTGGAATCAACATTAGGATTAGGATCTTTGCCTTTGACCCTACTAGCCTCCTATTTATCGTCAAATTGGGGGAGCGACACAAAGGGGTGATGAAAGTAAAGCTCTTAGTTCGGGCAAACCCCAAAGGCATATAGTGTAGGATTCCATCCCGCCTTAAAAGAATTGTTCCTAGTATCGATCAATGAATAGGACACCTACTATTGGTATTGGTACTGATTGAAGAACTCTTGGCAAGCCACCTCTTCCTTTCTCCTCGCTTCATCAAGAGTGACCCTCAGCTTTTCTAGCTACCAATCCATGGAGACGCAGTTGTTCTTGGCCTCCATTAACTTGGTCTCTATAACAAAATTTTTTAACTTAACATCTGTTATCTACCTCAACATTGACTGCCTTACTATTCTCTAGCTCTGTTGAGAGATTCTATGGCAGCTTAAGAGTCTCAGACATCTAGGAAACTTATTGTTCAATGGCCTGCTCCCGCTCAAGGGCTTGGCTCTTGAGGTGAGCAACCTTAGCTTGGGAGTGTTATCTTCTAGTCTAGTACATATAAATTCGATCAACAATAACCGATATCTACTGAAAAATCAACATCAAATAAAAGCTAAATGAGAAAATCAAAATCACCACCAACACGTGCTAGATCAATCCCTAGAGAAGGTTGTTGTCAGAATGGGCACAGTGTTGGGGCATGTCTGTGTAACGACAGAGACTACGAGGGTCGACTGTGGAGATTCGTGCTCGATTGAGCATGGTCTTGGAGTGCATGTAAATAAGGTAAGTATGGTAGTGAGACTCACAAGTGAAGCTCAAGTGAGGATAGGTTGAATGAATTGAGTGAACCGAGATGTTCAAATGGACTAGGGTTAGTGCAGATTTGGACAGATAGGGGCTAGTGTTTCGATTTGAGGAATTTTATCGGAGTGCATGGAAGTGTTAGAAAATAAAATTGATATTTTAAAGCTGATTATATTAAATTTTTTTAATTTAAAAAAGTTGAAACATTTAAAATTTTAGGATAATTACAAAACTGCCCCTTCCTCCAAGAACCTCACATGCTGCAAGGTGGAGGTGGCAAGCCATGGATTTCCCAAGCCATTAAATCTCATTATTGTAGCCTTAGGTGGTGTATGGAGGTGGGATAAGGCTCTGGAAGCTATGAAGAATGCCACAAATGCAAGTGAGAGAAAAAAAAATTTTGTTCCAAGTTGGTTCGAAGGCAAAGGGCAACGTGAAAGGCTTCTAAATTCAACAAGGAATTCATTGCTGAGGTTTGATTTGAGTTTGGTTTAGTGGTTATAGTCGAATACATGTTTAAAGCTTAAAGTGGGTAGCAAGTTTTCAAACATGTTCCATTGAGCTTGTAATCTTGTTCTTGGGCTAAGGTGGAGATGTTTTTAGGGTTTTGGAGGCGTGGTCGTCTAGTAGAATAGTAGCACGAAGAAACCCTCAAGGTTTGAATCTTAAAATTTGATTTTGTTTAAAACTTGTCTAAGTATTGAAAGGGGGCTTGGGTCTAACTAATTTGAAGTCAAGGAATCCAAATATGGTGTTAGATTTTAAAAATGAGGTCATTTGGTTGGTCAAAACCCATTTGTAGGATCTGGTCAATGTTTTCAAAAAAAAATTTTATGCCTACTTTGACCTTTGTTTTGTGGAGTTTGAGCTTTATTCCAACAAGGAGGATTATGTGGATTAAAACTAGGTTGCGTGGGGAGTTAATTGGCTTTGGAATGAAGTGGATTGGTGTATTGAGGTGTCAGAATGAGGGGTAAAAGTAAGGGGGTTGGGCTAAATTGCTGGAAATTATGGTTTGAAGAAGGAAGAAGATACAAGAAGAACGAGAGGAGGTGGATGGAACCAGTCCACCCTAATGGCAAGTTGGGTCGATTTTCCCTCTAGCCCTGATTTGACCTGTTTTTGGGGGATTTTAAAACAATTTCATATTCATTTATAACTAGTTAAAATATACTTATGTGTGAAATTTCACTAAAAAATTTAATGTTCTACTTTTAGCAGATCTGAATCGGCATGTGGATCGAAGTAGGGTGTCTTAAGCTAGTTTTTCTGAACTCTTTCCAAACCTATCAAATATTTTAGCGTATCTTTCTTGGGGTGTAAGTATCCTAAAAGGTTGGATTGTATGGTTCTTATCGACCCTGATTGGTCTACAGGATGATACTCTTTGTTGTGGCACTATATCTGTTTTTTGAACTCTCTTTACACATTACTGTTTTACAAAACCTTTATTGTTTTACATGAAATGATATTGTTTTAGCTATATTGTTTTAGCTAAGTATGTATGAAATGACTATTTTATTGCCCAATCATTACGAAATGACTGTTTTAATGCACAATCATGTCAAAGTTCTACTTATTTTCAAACTTGTATCCTTTGTAATTGGGTTATCCTACTAAGCCCTATGTTCTCAATCTAGTTTCAGATATCTAATAGCCTAGAGGGAGATAGAGCTCACTTTTTTTTTTTGGACCTTGTACATTTTGGCCTAGTTGTCGAGTCTGAGCATGTAAATAGTAATAAATGTCAGATGTGAACGATGGTGATGTAGTAAGCCACTCTGCATAGTTTTGTACCTTGTGTAATATTTTGAGGTGGTTAAGCATATTACTAGTGATTTTATGTGGGTTGGGGCAAGTTATTATTATGTTGCATTGTATTGATCATATGACATGCTCATGTGAGGCGAGACGTTATACATTAAATGTCGGGGCAATCTAGGGTGTGATAGTCTGCCTAAAATTAGTGGCTCTCACTAACATCATAGGTGACATTAATGGATTAAGAGAGGGAGTCAGTGTTCATGACGCTATACTTCTCCTTGTTGCAGTCCACTGGTCTTACTCCAAGGGTTTCCCCGCCAAGCATTGAGGGGTTGGTTGTTTATAGATAGGAGAATGGTGGGATATCGGTTAGTGAGGGTGCTATTGGTTGCCCCTAAAAAGGTGTCTCCCTAACATGAAAAAGCTTAACCCTTCGCTTATCTGTTTTGTTGGTCTCTCGTCCTTGACAGTGATCCTAAAAAGGGGTTTGTTCGGTGTTGACAAGGGGTGGTGATGGAGGAAACTAGCGTAGCTAAGTGCCTGCAACCACC